ACCCGCCCCGGCTGCAAGCCTAGGCCTGGCACTGGCTGCGAGCTCACCTGTGGAGTCTGTGCTGCAGCAGCAGCAGCTGCAGACCCCTCACTTGCCATGCCGGACAGCATTTGTTGCTGCTGCTGCCCACCCGGAGCTCGTGCCACTGTAGGCTGCAGTCAGGCTGCCACCACTGCCCTGGTGCGCCCAGCGCATGAGCTCTGGTTGGGCAGCAGCAGAAAACTCTGCCCACCACAGCAGGCAGGGGGGCTGCAGCTGCTCCCATCACAGCGCAGCCCCGATGGGCAAGCCCGGAGCCGGGGCAGGGCCCAGGCTGGCAGCAGGGGTGGGTTACAAGCTGGTGCTGAGTGCAGGGGAAAAGCGCACCCTCCTCCCCCCCGGCCCCATGGCCCAGGCTCCCTGCTGCAGCCTCTTGCAGCCTGCCTAAGGCTGCCTGTGCCTTCTCAAGACAGCCCTGTGCAGGCTGCGAGCAGCTGCAGCAGGAAGCACCGGCTATGGGGCGGGGGAGGGGCTGCTTTTCCCCGCGCTCCGCACCAGTTCCTTCCCTGCTGGCAAGCAAGGGGTCAGGGCTGTGCACTGCCACCCGCCTGTACTGCGAGGATGAGGGGGCACTAGGAGTGAGAGGATGCAGGAGCACAGGGCCCATACCAGTGTCCTGGGACCAGTGCCAGGGGGCCCAGAGCAGGGCAGCAGGAGTACAGGGTCCCAGCTGGCAGGGGCTCTATGGAGCTGAGCCAGCTCCTTCCTCTCCCTGCTGGTGCAGCCCAACCTGGCTCCACAGACCCCTGCCAGCCTGCGCCCCACTCTGGGCTCCCAGTGCTGGCCCTGGGACATATGTCCCAAGACACTGGGACATTGGTCCCAAGATGGTGACCAGGGGGCAGGTGACCTGTCAAGGGGCAGGGCTACCCATGCGGCTCTCAACAGCTTGCCAAAACTGGGTAAGTGAACCTCTGCCCTAAATAACTGCCCGCCCCTGATCTAGTTGAAACTTGGCAGCAGGAAATTCAGTAGGGGAAAGCATGCTTCAGGAGCAAAAAGGAAGCATCATAGTTGTTATATGATACTGTACTGATGACCTGCTTTGTTTTTGGATAGAAGGAACAGGTGAGAAGGAGGCTGGAAGGAACTCCTTCCCTGCCCAGGATCCTCTTCCACCCTCCCCCACTTTATCTGTGGTTCTGGAGCACGGCAGCCATGTGGTCCCAGGCCAGAAGCCCCTGCTACGGCTTCTGGCTGGGGGGGCAGGGTCAGGCAGGCCCTGCTGTTGCAGGAGCCCACTGAGAATTCCCCTGGATCCTACTGCCCCTGGTTCCTGTCATTTTTGACAGGAACCAAGGACAGATGCATTTTAAATTTAAATTTTTTTTAGGAGCCCCATGGGCCACACTGAATAGCCTTGTAGGCCAGATCCAGCCTGTGGGCCATATTTTGCCCCTGAACTAGATGGAGCACCAGGTAGATATGGAAGACTAAAAATGGCAAAAGTTTGTTCACTAGTAAACAACTCCTTCAATGTGCCTCAATGTAGTAGCCCTATAAAATAGTCCCCTTCCCCTATGCTGGTTCATGCCTACAACAAAACAAGGGTTTTTTCCCCCCCGCAGGATTCCAAATTCCACAATCTTTTATGGCTACAAAATACTGTAGATTGTCTGAATCACAGAAAGGTAACAGGCAACATGACTCAGGGAATTTGGTTAAAAATCATTTTCCTAGGCAACTCTTTCATCATGTGGAGAGCCAGGACCCTGGAACTGACCATATCATATGGATGGACATTGGCTCTACATCCATCTACCTGTTTGTAGTCCAACATTTTTCATTCATTAATTGCCTATTTAAAAGCTGAAAGAACAGAGAAATATGATTACCTGAGCGCCCACTAGCTGTAGCAATGCTGAGTTCACAGGAAGGAGCTCAATATCTGTATTGATAGTGGTCTGGTCAAAGGGGCATGCCTTACGGTGGAGCTTGTTGAGGCACATCTTGCAGACAGTGTGACCGCAGCCCAAACTGATGGGTTTCCGGATTGTTTCGTCGAAAGTCTGTGTGCAAATTGGGCAGGAGAGAAAATCCGTCCATTGTGGAGCTTGTACAGGCATTGCTTCAGGAATTAATTCACTAGACAAAATCTAAAAAGAGCAGATTCCACTGGAATCAAAATCTTGGAAAAAATGTTTTTGCTTGCTTTTAAATATCTTCCGTAAGTACAGACAGTCAGCACATAGTGTGAAACATAATCTGAAAGAAAAAAGAAAAAAAAGTTCTCTCACTCAATTGGATACAACATTTTAAAATCCTTTACGCTAATTAATCCATGAAAAGGTCTACTGGAAGTGGGAGTGTAGTCCTATGACTAGAACAGGAGACTGAATCAACTATGTTATACTCCCAGCATTGACTAGATTTGGCCAGGTCAATTAACCTCTGCATTGCAAACAAAACAGGGATAATTATTTACCTTTCAGAAATGTTGCAAAGAAGGATTAATTATGTTTACCAAGAAATAGAAGGTAATGAAAATAAAATTGAGGAAATCACTATGATCAAAACATGAATTGAATATATCAGTGCAAACAGGTGAAGATTCTTAACTAAATCCATTTTTTTTTAAAAAGGACTCAGCTTAATTAAACTTTCAGCTTTCAACTTTGTTTAGACCAGGCTTGATTCACAGTCTAACCAAGTCAACAGAAAGGCTGCCGCTGGGTGGAACAGGTTTGGATTAGGCAAAGTGTAGACACGCACACACGTGTTGTGCAACACAGCCATCTGAAACAAGACCAGTCACAAATGAATTCAAACAAATAATCTAAGGAACAAGAACACTGTCCGTCCTACTAGTGATCCAGAAGTTATCACATGTACACACAGATACAACTGTCAAAAAAATTCTCCTACAAAGGCGAACTGCAAAGCAAAACTTGGTTATGTCACAAATTTCTTGTAGTAATAAGCACAGAAAGTTAAAAAAAAAAAAAAATCTTCTCCCTTCCTTCCATGAAGTTACTTTTATGCTTCCTGGTAAATGAAGATATCCCAGAATGTGTAATTCAGTGACATTACAAATACTCTGGACTAACTGCAAATGAGGTTTCTGGTAGACATGATATCACTTCTGAGACGCCCTCAGTGAACGAGGAAGTAACAAGACAACAAGAATTTAAAAAGGCAAGTCAAAATTTTTACCTATGGTCTATGCTCACACCTTATTCACCACTCATGACCTGGTGAAGGTGACAGGACAAAAATTAACATTTTTAATCATTTTTATTTACCTTTCAAATTCATGCTTATGTGGACTAGACACTAGCCATATCACTCCCTTGCATACCACTGGCTACGCAATCTAATGTGCCTCAATTATGCTAGCCCAAAGGGCTTCTAGCATTGGATGGACCTTTGACTTCAAACTTTAGGTGCTGAAATATCTCCAATTCCAACAGTACTCTGATTAAAGGATTGAGGATTAGAAAAGGAGAAGGTTGCTGGCCAGGTTGCTCATTTAAAACACATACAGAATATATCACTGCAAGCATTTAAGAAAAGGTGCCTTGGGTTTGAAGAGCCTTAGCAAATAAGGGCACCTCAGCTTGCATCTGCAATGAATGCAATAACCCAGTGAATTGGAGGGAGGGAGAGGGATTCTTTCAGAAGCCACTCTAGACTACAAAAAAAGTGGCAGTAATTTGTTCCCAGGAAATCATCACCCAACCACCTTTATTTATATGTATATTATAAATTTTTTAAGATGTAATATAATCCCTACTGCACTGACAGATTTCAGGGAACATAACCTGGAGGAAGTGATTTGTTTTTAAGTGTGAGGGAGAACAAGATAAAACATCCCCTTCCTATGAAAACACTAACAAAATCCAAAACATAAACAACAGTACATCATGCATGCTATGAGAAATATGATAATAGACTAAACATGAACAAACTAAAAATTAAAAAGTGTTTATTTTAATCATTCATCAGGGGAAAGCACTGCAGATCAGACACTATAATACTTTCAGACTGGAATCTGTCTTCTACCAAAGCCAACAAGTGTCAGTGGAGGATGTATTTATTCAGTATGAGTTCTAATAAAGGGTTCTAATAAAAATTAAAAAGCTCTAGTCAAATCACAGAGATTAATTAATGCTGGCAAGCTACATAAGATTTTCTATTCCCTCTGTCTTGCACTTCATAATTATTTCTTGAAATTCTAAAATCCATTTCCTTGCTACACTTGTTTTCCCCAGTCAGAAAGAAGCACATTTATTTGCCTTTATGGGTTCAAACAAAATTACTATACAAGCACAGGAACAGCCATTTGTTAGAAGCTGAACATTTTCACATAAAATGCACTGTTTTAGATGGGAGCCAGACATTAGCTTAATTTGTGGCAGAGGTTGGGGGGAAAAAGGCACCAGCCCCAGGCACCAACTTAGTGAGAGTACCAGAATGGTGCCTTGCCACCCCTTCACCCCCAGAAGCAACCCCACACCACTGATGTTGCAGCAGCAAGGTGAACGCACACTGTGCTGCTGCTGTAGCAACAACCACTACCAGAGTAGGCAGACCATGCCACAGCAGCAGCAACAAGAGACTGAGTCCCTGGAGCAGGTAAGACCAAGTCCCCACCCCAGTATTACCAACACAAAGCTCCTAAACCTAAAAATAGTATTAAGTCTATACACTATTTCCCCCAAAGTACTATTAGAGGCTTGAACTTCTAAGAATCAGCTGTTCCGTATTCTCTTCTACCAAAAAGGCATGTTTAAAATAGCCAAAATTAGTTCATTTCCCACAGTATTATCTATAATCTAGAATGGCACAAGCAACTTAGTCTTAGATCTCACACATGTTAAGTAACAGACCATTTTGCTCCTTTTTTAAAAAGCCTAGTAAACTTTCTAGGTAATAGCCATCCCAAAACAACTGGAATAAGTAAATACTATTTAGTGATGGTCCTGATGAGGTTCTTACAAGTTTCATTTTTCCAATCTAAAAGAAATAATCCGTAGGGTCATCTAGCACTATGTGGCCAACCTGAAGGAGTCTGCAACCAATTGGATCTGGCCTGCAACAGCACAAGAAATGAGCAGGACACACCTCTTCCTAGCACAATACCCTTCACCCTGAGCTGAGCCACCAATCTTCAGTGCAGCACCCCTTCCACAGCTCTCCATTACCCCCTGGAATGGCACTGTTTACCCTTACCCCCCTCCCACTGCCGCTGGGGACAGGAATTGGCAGCACATGGCAGTGGAGATAGCGGCAACCCACCACATGTCAAAAGTTGCCAACACGGGATGTAAATGAAAACAAGTCAGGGAACACCTGAGTGGTTCCTAATCAGTGTCATTAGAAAGACAGTGAACTGCTAGATAGGGATAGCCCACCAGAGAAATACTGATTTGTATGTCAAAATACAAAAAGGAGACATACATTAAGACAGATAAATACAACCCTAGAAATAGATACTAACTCTAACTCAGCCTTACTCTTTAAACTGCTACTTCCCTCGATAGCAGAATTGGAATGTTGTTGTAGCTATGATGATCCAGGAAATGTATGAGAGGTAAGGGGTTTTTGTGATATCTTTTTTGTACCATCTGTATAGTTGGAAGAGATGTTCAACAAGCTTCTAGACAAAGTAAGAAAGGCAATTCATGTCTAAAAACTTGTCTAATATCTATCCCAACTATCACTGTTGGTTCAAACGACACAGTAAAACACATACTTGCAATTCATGGCTGGTTCCATAGTAAATGATGAGCAAAGAAAGGGGTTTTTTTTCCCCTAGAGGTGCACTGATATATCGGTCCATTTTGGATCAGCACCAATAAAAGAAAGATTGACATTAATTGGCAATTGGCTTTTTTTTGGCCGGTATAGCCGATAATGTCAGCTCTCCATGCCTAACTGCTCCCCTGCCCCCACTGCTGGTCCCTCTGTAAGAAGGCGAGTACTGTAATAAAAAGACTTCATTTTGAATCAAGTGGTACTCCATTTTAACAAGTTATAAAGGGATACCTTGAGTGTAAAAAAGGTTGAGAACCACTGCCTTAGCTCTACATGAAATATCTGGATCGGATGGAGGATCATCTATTACTAGGAAGAAAAAGGTCTGAAAATAGATGGAGATGAATATGAGGTTCTCTAAACAGCTACAAAATATTTCCATATCAATATAAACACTCAATATCCACAACAGTGCTATTGGTATGATTTGGGCCTTTTCAAATCTGATCTTCCTTCTGAACCTACAGACTCAAAAGGGATTGGAAAGGAAGGTACAAGAGAGGACCGCTCCAATCTAGTAAAAACACATCTACTAACTCTGAGCCTTCATGCATTACACGCAATATCTGGCATTCTGTCTGGACACAAAATACTAATTAGAGGTTACTGTCACTTGAGAAAAAGTAAGGATATCATTGACGGTTTAGGGATCATTAGAGATGTTTGCGTGGCTTTCTCCCGAGAATTGGCCTATATATTCTCCTGCCCTGTTATAAGTATATAGCTAGAGGGCGAGTAGAATGCTGATTTCACAAAAGCCCGAAGTTTTCTCCATACCAGCCCCCAGAAATGCATCCTGCCTTTGTCTGCTGATGTAACAGATAGTCAAAGGATGGTCTGTGAATGAACACCTGTACACGACAGCTGTGGGGACCTGGACAACATGGTGCTTAAGACACGCCATACCACCCTGAGTTTCAGAACATTTCATGAAATCTGAGCTTTATATAATATTCCAACAGATATGAACCCAGAGGTGCTGAAAAGCCCAGGCTGGAGTCATCTATATGAAGGATGACAAAAAAGCACTTTTTAAATAGACTGAAACTGGCTTTCATCAAGCAAACATTCTTGAATATTCCAGAAAGTTGTTTTATATTGCATATAATAAAACAACTAGTTTAGCTGAAGCTTCTGAAGGGGAAGAGTGATATTTAAGCACACGTTTGGTGATTGCTTGTATTTTTTCAAGGAAAAGTTAAAGTAAAATGAATATGCTTAATAATATTTACACCATGTTAAGTTTCATATGTAATTTTTAATATTGTATAAATTTACCCCATAATTTCCATCTACTTCAAAGCCCCGACCAATGCCCAAATCTGCTCTTTCGAGCGTCACATTGCTAAACAAAATAATGCCAACATTTGTTATACCTGTGACCCATCTGAAAGTATATGCAACCATAATCTGCTTCAGTAGGAAGAATTTTCTCGAATTGTA